TCCATCATGTTCCTCAGCTCCTCTCTAGATTTATTAATCATGTCTTGCACTAGGGGCACAATTTCTCCTGTTATCTGAGAAATTATTTTTGATTTCATTGTTTCAAGATCCCCTTTGTTGCCAGTTCAGTGGGTCCAGGTCGTTGAGTATCAGAGTGTTCCATCTCATTTCCCTTTGGGGTTGCTGTAGGTGATCTGGAAGTCTGGTTTTGGGACTTATTTATGTGTTTTCTCATTTCAACTGGTGCAGGGGGCTGTTAGCACCTGCACAGATTATCTCATCTGAGTTGGGAGAGGTGGGACAGGGGCTGGGAGCAGCAGTAGGGATCGTGGTGCAAAAGCCCTTTCTTGTGGGCTGGGAGCAGCAGGAGTGATGGTGTCTGGGGAGCCCCTTCCTCTGGACCAGGAGCAGTGAGATGGTGGCTCAGAAGCCTCTCCCTCTGGGCTGGGAGTGGTGAGAGTGATGTTGGCCTGGGAGCCCCTTCCTCTGGGCCAGGAGCAGTGGGACAGAGGGTGGCCCAAAAGCCCTTTCCTGTGGGCTGGGAGCAGTGGGAGGGATGGTGACCAGGAAGCCCCTTCCTCTGGACCAGGAACAATGGGACGGTGGCTCAAATCTCCTACCTCTGAGCCGGGAGCAGCAGGACTCAGTACCATGGTCTGGTGGTCTGGTGTCCTCTGTGCCTTTGTAGCGTGGATCCAGGTGGCTGCCTGTCTGCAGGGGGGTGATTCAGGTTGTTCCACCTGACTGGAGACCTTGGTAGGGTGTGAGCAGACCTGTCTGTCTTCAGTGGGGTGATTTGGCACCTTCTGTGCAACTCAGGACCTTGGTAGTGCATCTATCTTAAATCATTAAAAACAATTTTTTTCTTTTTCTTTTTTGCAGTGCTGGGGACAGACCCCAGGCCTCTACAAATGCTAAGCAAGTGCTCTACCACTAAGCCCCATTAAAATTTTTTTGATGAACCCGGCTGACTGAAGGCAGGTATATAATTAACAGCATGATCCTTGAAGATACATTGTAGTTCTTCCTTTAAAAATTATTAACTGTTAAGAGGTAGAGTATCTCTTAAAAATTAAACAGTAAACCAAAGCTGCATTGCTCATCTCTTTAAAACAAATTTAAAGCATTTATACTATCTAGGTTTCTCCTGCCAGAGTCAGGATAGACATTCACAGTGTAATGAGTTTAGTAAGGAGAGCTGGCCTGGGTGTGGTGGTTGTCATTTCTCCAAATGCTCTAAAGCTGGTATTTAATGTAGACAAAGCTAAAGGATTTCCAGCAACATTTCTCTGGAAAAATAATTCTTTCATTATTTACACAGGTCTTACAGAGACAGCTGGATATTTAGGGGCTCATCTGTTACAAAAGTAACACACTGTGTGCCATAGCTCATGATCTAAGAGCCCATGTGTCATTTCCTTCCTCTGAGAGAATAGTGAAAAAATGATAAACACAATTTATATAATCCTTAGCCATCCAGTCTTAGAATATAAAAAGTGCATGTAACTGAGTAAATGGCTTTTGGAGGTCAACATACCCATGAGTGTAGTGCTACTGTGAACCTGACTTCTCCTTAAACTCAAGACCATGAAAACACATTCCAGGTTGATAGTTCCAGCAAAGCCATGGAATAGTTGTCTAAAGGACATTTTTATTCCTGTATCTCAGTTTTTGGAGCCTCCTAGATATATTTTTTTTTCTTGAGACAAGAAACTGATATAAAAGAGAAGTTCTAAAATTAAATGTGGTTTTCTCCCCCTTTATTATTTAAAAATAAAGAGAACTGATAACCTCAACAAGTACACTGGGCAACTTAAGGAGACCAAGGCTAACATAAAAGGTTCGATCCTTTCAGACATTGGTAGGTATCCAGGAAATATGAGCACAATGAGAGAAGAGACATCATAAACAGAAAACAAGGATGTACATTATTTTAAAAGGAATAAATCTCTGTGCTCTGTGCAGAACTTATCCTGACTGTGGCTGACAAGCAGGTGATGGAGCTTTCACTTGGAAACAGA